GTTTGGTGGGATGCGGATTCGAACCCGCGACCCTCAGATTGTGAGTCGAGCGCTTTATCCACCTGGCCATGCCGGGCCCTTTAGAAAGTAACAGTAGTTTAAACCATGGAGGTTCTTCGGAAATGTCAACAAAATTGTCTAAACTGTTTATGCACCAGATTGCTTGTGGCTTCGTGACTTTGCTGGTCCCTAATAACACAGGAGTCGCACATAAGCATTATCTGTTGTTTTACAGTAAACTCTGAAATGTGACATTAATCAGTTTGATTCAGTATGCGAGCCCCCACCTCACTGGGTATTGAATGGTATTAAAACAAGCCTGTAATTTGAGGGTTATGATTTTTTTTTCGAGTGTCATACCCACTTATGTTTTCGAACATAAATACGAAACTAACGCGTGATAATTACTGAAAATTAATATTTATCGATTCCAATTAATTGTTTGTTTGTTTGTGATTAAGCACAAAGCTACACAATGGGCTATCTGTGCTCTGCCCACCACGGGTATCGAAAACCGGATTCTAGCGTTGTAAATACGCAGACATACCGCTGTGCCACTGGAGGGGGGGGGGCAATTAAATGCAAGAAAAATTATTATTTTTTGTGTAAATTGTGTAAATCGTTTTCAAAAAATTTTTGATTACCCAATCTGTACGTGACTACTTTCGGCTACTTGGGCTTCCACTTGACCACTTTAGAAGCTTGGGCTTCCACTTGGCCACTTTTGAAATTTGGGCTTCCCCTTGGCCACTTTTGAAGCTTGGGCTTCTACTTGGCCATTTTTGAAATTTGGGCTTCCACTTGGCCATTTTTGAAATTTGAGCGTCCACTTGGCCATTTTTGAAATTTGAACTTCCACTTGGGCACTTATTAAGATTGGTGACATGAATAAATATATATATGTATACTGATATTGTTTTTGATATGCACCAGTACGATGAGCCATAGCTGCTTTATTGGTTTCAACAAAAGACATATCCATTTGTCTACTTTTTTTTTTTAGAGCATAGCCACATTGGGCTATCTTTTGTGTCCACTGTGGGCAATCGAGCCCCGAACTTTAGCGTTGTAAGTCCGTAAACTTATCGATGGGAATTTCTTATTATCACTTTGTCATATGTTACAAATTTTGGATAGTTCTTCTTGTGTTGTTGTTATTGGAAAAATAAGGAAAGGTTAGATTTTTTTTTTCCTATCCAAAATAGAGCGATAATTTCTTCTGAATGGGAAGAAACTCTTGTAATCGACCCATATTCTCAGAAGTTGTTATGAAGCCTCATCCAAAGTGAATGAAAAAGCTCAGTTAAGACACTGAAGGAAACCTCTTCATCGACCGGATGTTCGAAGAGATGACATTTGGCGCGAATTCCTTCACGCGTTTAATTATATTTGTGCGGACGTGAGAAGCAACTAGCTAAACAAAACGAAGTTTTATACTGCATTCGCCAAAGACTGAGGTGCAAGAATTAAAAAAGGAAAGACAAAAAAAAAGGGCTGTCGAACTATTCACGTTTCTGATTCATTAGACGATCACATTTCTTACCCAATTGACAGACACAACATGCAGATGTAGACAAAGTTCGGAATAAATCAAGCTTTTAAGAAATGAATCCGTGGAAGGCAGACAAAAGTAAGTGTTTGGGGACACGCATTTCTGAAAATCTTTTACAATTAGGGTAACAATTTGAGAATATTTTGATGAAAATCAAGGAAGCCACAAGCGAAATTAATGAGGAAATAAGCAGATTAATAACTAACTTACGTGACATCCTTTTTATTCAACATTCATCTCTTTCCCAGTCTTTAAATTTCGTCTTTCAATTTCATTTTAGAATCTATCTGTTCATAATGAGTCATTATTTTGAACCCAAAGCTCATCTATGGGGGGGGGGGGGAGGAGCAAAGTGAGGTAAGGGAACATGCCCCTATAACCGCCTTTGTGTTATACTGAGCCGACAAACAATGATAATTACATTTGTCAGCCAGAAACAAAGGAACTCTTTCCTCGAAACCATCTGTTCTTATTTGAGACATGTTAAATATATTTCTTTGTGCACTAAAGATTTTTCCAAACCAGCGTGAATAAGTTTCCCTTTTTGTATCAGTCTGAAAGCAGTTGCCTAGAAACCTCTTTTGTTTTTCTTTCTGCTGTGCAGTTTGACGCGGGATTGTGAATGTGTAGGAGGATTCGTTGTGTGATGAAGGTATCCGGCTGTATTTACTGTTCGGATAGCCAATAAACGCTGCTCTATTCAAGTGATCTGATGCAACTAGCATACAGTGTTTTCATCGAATCAGAACCTCATGGTTGCGTTACCAGTACACAGTATTTTAGAATTCCTCTACTCTCAGCTTTCGTTAACTTCTCTCCAGATCACTTAGTGTGAAAGCAGGTTTGATCAACTAAAGAGATATGATTGTCAGCTTTCGTTAACTTCTCTCCAGATCACTTAGTGTGAAAGCAGGTTTGATCAACTAAAGAGATATGATTGTCAGCTTTCGTTAACTTCTCTCCAGATCACTTAGTGTGAAAGCAGGTTTTATCAACTAAAGAGATATG